CATTTATTCCTATTGGGATCACTTGCGTTATGAACTGCGCTTCTTGCAAATTGTTAAATCTGTTTGGACATCAAGTTACACAATTTGATGTGTGACTGAATAGTTTCGTTTAAAAAATCTCTTTGCTGCAGTATCATACCTGCATGAAAATAAGTTACTTTATTCCCGGTTTAGTAACGTCATAATAATCGACAATAATAAGAACATATGATATCCAAAATTTAAAGTCCTTATGACGCAATTTTTTTCGGAACTGGAACGAATTTTGGAACCCTTTTAAAATAATGTTTTCGATTTTTTTCAAAAAAAATTGCCGTCTGTGTAAGGTTATTAAGCAAATAAAGTCGTCAAAAGAGTGATTTTGGGATCCCTGTCGTGTTTTGGCCAAGTAATATCTGGGAACCAATAAGCTATTGATGACGTAGCAGGAGTAACCTATATTTGCATACTCTTCTACAACTCTTTACAAARTACAGCGCGACAAGTGAGAAATTAATAGTTTTTATAGTTTTTTGGCGAGAATGCCCAATCGATGTGTTGCTGGTGGGTGTTCCAATGTTCCTGATCCTTCTCGGAACATTGGGCTCCACAAATTTCCCGATGAAAACRAGAAACAACGACGAAAAGTGTGGGTCAACTTTGTGTTGTCCAAACGTGCGAAATGGACGCCAACTACTTCGTCAAGACTATGCTCAGARCATTTCACCTCCGAAAGCTTCGAAAGACCTTTCATAGAAATACCAGGGGCTTCATTTTCAAGCCGTGCTACGTTGAAGAACGATGCGGTGCCAACAATCCACGCGATTGCGATTACACCAACGCAAGTAAACRAGCAATCAACAACAACAACCGATGGAAGGAAGCGTCGTCGTGTAAGTACATGTAACGCCCGAATGTTTTAGGCAGTTKTTTGGTTTTGATTAAATACTTAATATTCAATTTTAGATCGTAAGAGATATCTTGAAAGAAAAAAGAGATACAGAACAACAAAACGAAGAACAGCAGGTTACGGACGACATTCTGGAAGACGCGCCATTGTTCRAAGAAGCACAGAGTTCACTCATTGTAGATCATGTAAGCTGACTATTTTCTCTAGCAATGTCATTTATAAGGTCTATAATTATTATAATTATTTTTTTCTTTATAGAAAGCAGATAAGTCATGTCAGACSCCAGATTGCCTAGGATGCGAGCGGTTGGCCAGCGAGCTTCGTCAACTAAAAAACAAAAAAATAAAAAAAAAGAAAAAATTGACAGAWAAAGATGAAATAATCAACAAACAAAAACGTAAGTTTGTAGAGGTCGAGTATAATAGGCACTTGCTTCCCGGGATTTGAATTGATATTCTTCTTTCTTATGTATGTCTCTATTAGTTTTTATTGAAAACATGGAGTCACAGCCATTACAAGAAAAAAAAGTAACCAAGGTCATCAAGKAAACTGAAGAGGAGGAGTCTGTTCAGGACATGCCAGCATCGGAGGAAGAATCAGCTTCAGAACCTGATGATGAGGAGTACAAAKAGGAAAGTGTGGATGAGAGTGAGAGTGAAGATGAGATGGAATCAGATCATGAAAAACCAGGTCCTAAGTAAGTGTAATTAGCACGTTTTAGCCAAAACTTCCCATTATAAATTGCATACATTGTATTTATCTGTTGTTTTRCTTTTTACAGCCCTGGTCATTCTCAGAATCTTCRGAAAGAAGCCAAGTACATAGTAYTTCTTTCAAAACTTCTACTGCTATTTAATTTCTGCCCGTCATGCAAGACCGAAAAGCCTGCAGTAAAGAGAAATGTGTGTGGGACACTAATTGAGGTCRCTACACAGTGCCTTAATCCCAATTGCAAGCATCCCACAAATACCTGGAGAAGCCAACCACAAATGACTGGGACAAAGATGCCAGCTGGGAATTTTCTTCTGTGCTTCTCCATCTTATTATCTGGTGCTTCACCTTCAAAAGTATTGCAACTTTTCAAGCATATGGGGTTATCTTGTATCACTCTAAGAACCTTCTTCAGGCATCAAAGTGTAAGTCCAAATTATTTCATCAGCTTCTGATATCCACCACCTCTTTCAAGGCGAAAAAAATTTCCTGTAATATTACTTCAAGGGCAATGTTACATATCTACAGATTGGTGCAAATTTTCGTACATGCCATCCATGTTCATTCAGGTAGTTCATTTTGTCAAAACTAAGATTCATGTTGTAAATGTTTGGTGTGTTTGTGTAATGCATTGTGCCGTTTGACGTTTTTAATGTACACATGGTAATAAACTTGGTTGTTTGTAGAGAAATATGACCGGTAACAGTCCAGCGATGGAGAAATCAGCATTTATCAATTGCATGGACAGCATAAAAGCTATGGGACTCTCATTTGACACTCTGATAACTGACAGACACACTGGTATTGCCAAGTACATGAGACTGGAGTTGAAAGACATAAATCACTATTTTGATTTGTGGCACCTCAAAAAGAGTAAGTATTGTCAAGTGATTTTAGAGTAGTTGTGCAATATTGTGTGCACTACATGCTTGTAAGTTAACATTGTACATACATTGTATTGGTATATCCATTCTTTTAGCTAGGTTTTGTCACGGTACCTTTGTCACTATGGGTTGAAATAATATGAAAATATTTTGGTGTCACTTGTGACTTTCAAACACTTTGATCTGGTACCAACCTTTKTCTGGCAATTAAATATATAAAATGCTATATGTTTCTTTTTTCTTTTTGTATTTAGAGGTGCACAAAGTCCTCACCAAGTTAAGTAAGGAGAAAGAATGCGAGAGTCTTGCCGACTGGATAGAGCCATGCGAGAATCATCTGATGTGGTCYGCAACTTCAACACCTTMGGGGGATGGGGAACTAATATGGTCAAAGTTTGTCTCATTCCTGTCCCATGTTGTAAATAAACATGAAAACTTGCCAGATCCTCGTTTTAATAAGTGTTCTCATGATGGAAATATTCCTGCTAGAAGATGGCTTGAAGAAGGTAAAACTATTTGAAAGGAAATGCCATTCTGTTTGTATTTTGTTTTAGGTCTTAAAATTAATTATGCASTTTAGTACTTCAGAATCAATGGTACTTTACTAGAGACCAGTATGTTATGTCTTCCTATGTATGCAGTGTAAGAAGTATAACTATTTCCTTTTTTGCTTGATTATACTATTTGTTTAGACACAAAGGTCTACGATAAAGTTTGTACTGCTCTAAAGAACACTTCTCTAATGAATGGAATAAAGAAAGYCTCGCCAACTGCACAGACTAGCTGCATTGAAGGTTTCCATTCAGTAATAAACCAGTATGYGCCAAAAATGTTTGCTTATGSCTTTCAAGGAATRTACTGCAGGTTTGTAACTTTTGTAATTAAATCACAAAGAAAATAAGAAAAAATATTTATAAAGAAAAAAAGATTACAATAGAAAATGGAGTACTGAAAGAGTTAGTATCTACATGTATTATCATCAATGTTTTTCCACATAGGCACATCATTGCAGCAGTTCATTTTAACWATAACCTCTACCGAGACGTCAAAACAAAAAAGGATGGAAGTGAGCAACTGAACTTGGTATATCCCAAATTCAAGAAYGGAAAAGCCACTATCAAGAAAGTACGAGTGGAGCCAAATTATGGTAAGTTATATGTACATTATCAACCTCATTRATAATTCATGAGCTATTAATCCAATGACGATCAAGCATTGGGTCACATGATTGAGTCTTTATCAGCCGATAAAGCACTGATTAATAAAACATTAGTGCTTCATCAGATTTGAAGCACTAATGTTTAATTCATCACTGTAGTGTGACTCTACACTAGCAAAGGTCTCAGGTTTAGTATGTCATCATAGACCTTTGCTAGGTTTTGAAGATAACAACACGTGGAGCAGTCTCGTACTACATTTGTATCCATTATATATGTATCTTTGATATTTTTTCYATAGATTACATAGAAGAAATATACCAGACTTTCCTTGATACTGTTAAGGGAGATGGTTTAAAGCATGCCATTGAAGAACTWGATACAATGACTCCTGAGCCCATGAATTCAATGCTGACCAAGCAGTCTAAAGTGGATGCTCTGCAGTTGTGGACACAGAGGCAGTCTATGGTCGTCGAAGAAGTCCCATCAACCATGTCAGGTAATTGTTGTTCATAAAGTTCAATGCAAATTTAGTAAAGTAGGAATTTAGATTTCCCCATTGTGAACAGCTAAATTCACCAAGATTGTGCTACAGAGATATTTTGTGCACAATTATTTACAAATTATGTTTACATACATCCCTCACATTTGTATTTTTTGTGCCTTCAGGTAATGAAGTAGCCTTCCAGGTCCGTCTTCACAGACAGAAGCCAGTACATCACAAAGGCGGCCGTCCAAAAAAAGAAACCAAAGAAAGGAGAGGACATGCCCTGATTGCCAAGACCCATGGAAGGGCCATAGGAAAAAAGAATGTTTGGCAAAGAGAAAAAGGAAAAAGTCATAATATTGGGAAATTGTCTAAAATGTGTTTCTATGATGGTACACTGTTGTACATTGTAAATATTAAGAACTGATACATGTTTTCACATTGCCTTGCTGTCGAGAGTAAGCTAAATCACAATAGAGTTAGCGACTGGCAATCATCAAAGTCTGAAAATATCCAGAAACCACAAAATACAAAAAAAAAAAATAGAATGTCATGTCATTGGTAAATGTTTTTTGCATCCTGAATAATGGGGCTCTCTCTGTCCTAGCTTTGTCAATTGATGAAAGAGACAGCTGCCTTGAAATGCAGAAAACAAATACTATTATATGTACAGAGCTGTAGTTACATATAGAAAGACAAAGCAGAAAAAGTTTGGATGTATTTCTTTAATTTATTGTAAAGTAGATTGATATTCTAAATAAATAAAACTCATTATTTTTACAACATTGTAATATAAGCTTATGTCATGACAATATTATGGAAAACTTGAAAATATCATTTATGTATAATATAAATAGTTTTGCTAAATGGTTTTATTGCGTTTGAGTATCATCATTTTCATCTTCTTGGAAACCTGTGAAATTTTCGCCGTCTTTAGCTTGAAACTTCTTTCGTATAGAATGGTAGGCACAAGCGGGAAGAGGGATCCTGTTTTTACCCACTCTATCATACACCAAGTGAATAAATTCTCTATATGCCACACTTCTCATGAACCTATAATAATCAAAATATACATAAGTATCACAGATTTCTGCATTTTCCGTCTTAAAATGAATGCCCTGAACAGATAGAATCGTATAATTTTGAATTATTTAGAATTATAATGTTATGGTGTGCCATTGTCATCGAAGAATGTGAACTGAATGCAATGTTATAACTTACGCTTCTTCAGATCCAGTTTTATGATAAGCTTTTTTGTCGATTGTCCTGTATTTTCCAAGTCTTAACGACCATCTCTCTAGACAAGTATTTTTGTAGGCAGGATGGAGAGTGATACATTGTGGATGCGATTTGAATTCTTGTAGCACCCATTCGTCTCGTAAAGCTTCGATGCATGACTCCATGTCACTGCAACAGCAGCATTCGTAAGCGTTTTGTAGAAACTTGACATCACAGTGACCGCAATTGCACCTATTTAAGAATTATAGCAAATTTCAAGAGTTATATATAGACATATTAAAAAAGCATGCTTTAATTTGTTGAAGTTGCGAGTTCTAATAGACGTCAAAGGAAGATAATAGAAGATTAGTCATAAGCCGTCAAACAAAAGCGATCTATACTTACCAATTACTAATTGTTTCTTTACCAGTTAAACGATCATTTAATCTACCCAGTTCTTCTTCCTTTTCTTTCTGGCGTTTATTGTAGCCTTCAAGCCATTTTTGATCGGCTAAAGGCTCGTTGCAATATGGCTCAACGCCGCGAATGTTGACATCAGTTTCGCCGTCACTTTCGGGAGCTCCAGGTTCGCATTCAAAATCGTAAAAGTTTCCTGGAATGTAGTTATACTCCGAGTCATCATCAGGAACGTCCAGATCATTAAAGTCGCTTGACGTATCACTCATTTTAAAGGCAAAAAGATGGTAGTATTAAACAACAATTCAAATTTCTAAGCTCRATATGACGGAAAGGACGCACATTTGTTGTTATCAACAAACACATAACTTACTCCTCCTACGTCACACTACCAGGCCCCTGACCGTGCTCGGCCAGAGTTTGAGTTTCGGACTTTGAATCTCCAATAAAAAAATAATTTCGCGGAAATTTTGAAGCTAAATTRRAAAAAGAGATTACTTTTTACCTCTAGTTTTTGTTCGAAAATTAAAAAAAATTGCGTCATAAGGACTTTAAGCTATCCGCTAACTTTACATGGACTGACCACATTGAATATATCTCTTGTAAGATCAATAAGAACTTGAGCCTTTTGCGTAGAATTAAGCATTTATTGCCATTTCACGCCCGGTTACTTTTTATAATAGCTTCATTGTGCCCGTTTTTGACTATGCTGATGTAGTTTGGGGCGACAAAGACAATGTCACTTTAATGGGAAAGTTGCAAGTACTCCAAAATAAGATTATCCTAGATTATCCTAGATAGACCTTTTTATTCTTCAGTAACGGATGCACTCTCATCACTGAAATGGTTGAGTTTAGGGAAACGCAGATTTTACCACCACTGCATATATATTTATAAATGTGTTAATAATTTGAATAAGCATTATTTAAAAATTGTAAAAAACAGTGAAACCCATTCATATAATACACGTACTAAAAATAATTTAAGATTACCGAAAGTAAAAAGAAACTGGGGTAAACAACGGACATGCTTCCAAGCGATTAATGATTGGAATAATTTAGATTTATCTATCAGAGATTCGCCATCTTTAAGCATTTTTAAATCAAAGTTACGCTCTCATCTTTTTACCACCTTCTCTTAGTTTTTATATTATATGCTATTTATTTATTTTTTATTATATTATTTATTTATTTTTAAAGTTAGCCATAGTTTTATATTGATATAATTATTTATATTTTTATCTTAATTCCATGTAAATATTAGTTCAACTTTTTTAGGAATTCTATGAAAACCACACTTATGTGATTCCTAATAAAAGATTGCTATTATTATTATTATATAAGTCACTGTACTCTAACTGTAAATTTCTATTTTAAAAACAGCATGTACCCTTTCAGGAATATGTCGAAAAGGAGGAAGTTGAAAGTGTAATATCAGATGAGKTCAGTTAYGTATATCTCATTCTTTCTGAACACAATACTTAKRCTGAGCCTATCTTTATATCCTGTAAATCTCTATACATTGTATATTTCCAGTAAAACTCTGATGAYYACTTTTTTGAGTGTGACTAGTCAACCAGGTAATAAATCCACAAAAAYATTGTAAAATAATTATGTTTAATTCTATTTGAAGGATAACACATACCTATGTGAAGATATGTCTGTTCCTGATGCACAGGATGATGTTGATTCTCTGAAAAAAACCTTAATCAATGCAGCACATGGTAACTTTCAGGATAATAATCAAGACCCCATCAATAATATTACAGATGAAAGTGCAGAGGAATATAGAAAAGAACTAGATTTAGGACCAAGCAAAGGATCAGTTCATCTCTCTAGCTTTCTGCTTGAAAAAAAAGGTTAATGGAAAATACCTGCACATGATTAGGTGGGATCGCGAAAGTATGCTAGTGAGTCGTAACATTCTACGAGTTAAAACAACTACAAAGTATTTGCACATAGAGCACCAAAGTGGAGATCAAAGTCAAGCAATTATGCAGAAATTGAGCTTTGATTTAACTTCTTTTATGGGCTGCAAGATAGAAGAAAAGCAACTGACAGCTGATATTTTTGAGGCACCAAATCTCCAGGTAAAAGATGGAAAATCTTGGATAGAGTCCAAGGTTCAGGATCCGAGCCACTCACCTTCAAGTKCTCCAAAGAAAGAAGKTCCTTGCCGAATTCAGCTTACTCTCTTGGACAAATCAAATGCAAGAAAGTCATCTACCAATCTCYTGACCTTACTATCAAAGAATCGTCTCCTCCAAAGAGCTCTTGAAATGGGACTTCAGTCAAGTTACGACGGAAAATATTTCCATGTTGAACCTCATGAAAACTATCCACTGCTTCGTGATCCCACAMTTGTACTAGCAGCGCAACAAGCAGTCAAAACATTCACTGAATGCAGCGATGTTCAAGAAGCCATCAGCTTGTACAAAGTCCTCTATAATCATTTTAAAGCACTTTTGATGAAGTGAATGCAGAATAACCGTAAAGAAGAGCAAATATTCTTCTTGACCAGGCAAGTGAATGGACATGATGTTCGAACTTTCGGTCTCTCATAATCCACTTAAAAAATGAAGATTTACAAGGGACTAACATCTGAAGCGTAGCCCAGTTCCAGAAATGAATGTTTTCCTGCAATGATCACTTCACTTTCGAAAGATTTAACCAATTTTACGYAAMACAAACAACAAACGCTACATTCTAACCATGGCCGCTGTTTTATGGCCGCGTATTATCATACTAAAAATGATCTGGGTTCGAGGGCCGCTCGGCCAGCCATTCGAACGTGCTGTTATTAGTCAATTTGGGATCGCGCCGGACAGCTAGTAGTGATATTACTATTATTCTTATTCTTATGTATATTATATACATTTATGAGTTGATTACTTATGATTGCAATATTTATTCTGAAAAGCCCTCAAGGGGACGAATAAAGTATGTATGTATGTAAAGTATGTATGTATGCATAGCTTGCGATGCCTTACTTCGTAACTTCATATCACTAAATATTGAGTCGCCGGTAGCCTAAATGAACACCTGGCATACGTAAATTACATAGTTTAACATCCACTTAGCATTACGTTGCCTGCCGATGAAAACATTGACGGCAGATATGCGTATATTTTGTAGGAAATGGAAAACCAGAGTTAGCATCGTATACATTACAGTTGATGTTCCTAGGTTTCAGATTTCCATTTACGTACTTTCCAACTCGAGAAGCATCCGCGATACACCTTTATGAGACGTTTTGGGATAGCGTGGAGACGTTATCAATGTATAACTTTAGCGTTCGTCTATGCATCTGTGATGGCGCTAGTGTGAACAGAAAATTCGTGTTATTGCACTTTGGGGGAGACGAAAATGAAGCCAGTACACTACAACAAATCCTTCGTCGTGAAAATCACTGACGTTCATCTGTCATGGATCCTTCGGTAGGTTAGGTTGTATTTTTTATTTAGAGGACTTGTAATTCCTCCAAAACGTTTGCGCAAGTCTTAGATAAACTATACAATGCGAGATAAAATAAAAAAAATGTCAATCTTTCTAACGTGTAATTATTGGCCATTTGCAGCACAAATTCAAGAAGCTACGAAATGCTATCGTCCAAAACGAGTGCTAGGCAGTTTGCTCTTGGAGAGCACGGAATATTTTGGGAGCATCTTCGGTCTGCGTACGAATACGACGTAGCAACTAATAGTCTTTTGACTCATCGTCGGTTGAGTGACGACCACTTCGTACTTACGAGCAGAAGCAAGATGCGCAATCATTTGTCTGACGATGTACTCGGCGAGGATATGCTTCATCTAATCAAGGTACTATTAGTCATTTCGTTTCTACAATGTATATTTTTGTATTGCATTCACCTGATATGTGAGATTTGGTCTATATCAGATTCACTTTGTTATCGCAATCGCTATCATAATCATATCAAGTTCAAGAGTCCCCCAGCTGTTTTTATATTGGATATCACTATATTCATTGTGATTTGTTTGTCGTAGTCTATTCTGTATACATAAATTCATTTAATTTGCAGGTCTATCAGCGTTATTTAATCAAAGAAGGCAAAGATTCACACACCTTGACAGCACCATAATTTTTTTGGAAACGACAAGTCAGCTGTTGAAAAATTTCAAACATATTGCTCCGTATAGGTCAGTAGAAAATTGTCTTCGACTTCGTCATTACATATCAAGACTTGTTGTGTGGACGTTGCATACGCACTCACTTCTGCACTGTCCAATTGTTTCTGACATTATATAAAACTTCTGCTTAGTTCTCCGTATCATATGCTCTATTTCAAACGCGAATCTGAACAGATAATCGTTATTTTCTATATAGTTCAATGGAAGACTCACGGTTCAACAGTGTCTACAGTGGCTTAAAGACTGGGAAAAGGATGCGACAACTACGACCCATTTAATGTGGTTAAA